GATGATGACTTTGTGCGTGTATATGAAGAAACTTAGAGCCGATCAAGTATCAAATTTTTTTCCATTGATATTGATACTAGTCGAGTTCAATATCGAGATCGCTCACCAATCACAATCAATCACCTAACAATTTTCAATCCTCCAACCAATCATTCACTGCGTTTTGCGTCAATCGCCTCCTCGCTATTTCTATTCGGTGAGACCGCAACAGAGGAGCCAAGAGCCGTCCTAGTCTCCTAACTCTCCCGCCGCCGCACCACCACCAGAAGCCACAGTGGTCCTATGGATTTGATGTGACATTTTGTCTTATTAACTATTTTAGCCTATTTTATTTATATATATTTTTTTAATTTTATCCTCAAAAAAGCTAAAAACTTTCTTGCCAAACACCCCCATTATATAATCCTCTAAAAAATATTACAAACACAAAATATATAGAACTCACGATATATAATCTCCAATCTCACCTTCTATATCCAAGAATCAAACAGGCCTAAGTTTCTTCAGAGGATCGAGAAGACGTAGAAAAACGCAATGCCAGCCAAAGAAGACTCACAACCATGGTTGCCGAACCTCCCCAAGGAAATCATCAACCCTAATTAATTGGGATGGAGAAAGGTGGAGAAGGCGTGATTGTTAAAAGAGGAGGAACAGAGAAGATGGAATGTGACAATCCGCTACTACCACCACACTACAACAAACTACACATTTGGCTACTAAATTTGACGACCAAACCGTCAAGTTCGATGACACATTCCAGTGATTAGTTTCAGTTTGCCTAATCATCATGCATTGTCTACAACAATCAAGACTATCCTCCACCGATAGCCCAAAGCAGTTATTTCTATACAGAAAATAAATGCAACCATGGATATATAATCAACATTCCAACTAGGTGAGTGATAAATAATCCAACTACACCCTTTAATCCCATATCTTTCCAAATCAATTCCTCAATTCTCATAATTAATTATGCAAATTAATTAACCAATGTAATTAGGACATTTTCCATAATTAACATTACAACCCTTAGGTTTTATTTTCACTAATGTTTCAACATTAATTTCACTTTTTCCATGCCAAACATGCATCTAGGTTTTATATAGTTAAAACCCCAATTTTTTGTAAATTTGCACAAAAACCCCAAACTTTCACAAAATTACCAAACCAACCCCAACATCTCAAAATACTAAAATTTAAAGACAAAGCCCATAGTGAGGAGTAGGTTATCCCTACCTCAAAGAATGACTCCCAACCAAGAAGGTGAAGAAGATGAAAATGCTCCAAACCACAAATTTCTCGGATCAAATGGTAGCCTTCGACGATCAACACAACTTTTACAAAGGCCGAAGGTGAGGAGATCGCCCCTACTAGATCAATACCTAGAGAGAAGTCAAGGTTTTAGAGAGAGAGGCTCTCAAAATGGGTTTTAGATAAAGTAGGAGAGAGAAAGGAAAGTGAAAAGTGATTTAAAATCACCCAGCGGATAACTCATATACGTATGACCCGCTCGAGCGGAGAACACAAAGCTTGAGCGCCAAGAACAAAAATCTGGACACGCTCGAGCGCAATAAGGCCAGCTCGAGCTCCAAGACACAAGAATAAAGCACTTTCGCTCGAGCCC